CCCCAAAACCCCCAAAACCCCAAAACCCCAAAACCCCCTAACATAAGAATGAAATTGACTGTCTTCTAATAGTGAAAAAATGAAGAAGATAGTATCACATTTTGCTAAAGCTAGAAGAAATAGACCTTTCTTACACCTCAAGATTGATTTTATCCAGAATCTTAACAAATCAATGAAAATTATCTTGTAGCTTTCTGTTAGATAGAATATTTATGGAAAAAGCTCTTATTCTCTTCTATCATAGAATAAAAGTTTGGCTTCATGATATCCTTCAGTAATGTAATGTCAAGTGCTTTTTCATCAAGACTTGCATAGCTCTTCAGAACGATAGGAAGCAAGTTATCCCTTATTGAAGTCTTTTTCATGATGTACACCAGCAATGGTAGCATTGCCTTCTTCTTATATCACAAACAGAAGAAAGAAAAATTGGTTGTACCCTGTGTGATAGCTGTCTCAAGGAAGTTTTTATTCATCCAGTTCGGCTTTGGATCATCAGTGCTGTCAATATTAAGATGTAAATTACTTAAAGATCAGCCATTTTACACACATTTGTTCATCTTCATTGAATTTAATACCTTTCATTGCAAAAATATGGAGGAGGGACCATTTACATTCAGAATTACCTATGTGTCAATTTATGAAACTACAAAGTTTTATCATTTTCTCAGGATGCTTTTTGATGATCTCGAGAACAATCTTTCAGTTTTTGCTGTAGTTTAAACATTAAGCCTGTCAGAATAATCCATGAATTGATGTAGGGGCTCTTACCTTTTGATTAAAAATGTAAATACATCATCTAAATTGTTTTATTCCCAAGCTGAATTTATTTACACATAGTTTTTGTTCGCAAAATTGCTGATAAATCAGATTAAACTATCTACTTATTTACTCAAAGATATTTTCTAACAAGTGCTTTATTCTATTAAATATTATGAATTATTGCAAGAATGATTATGGTTCTAAGCCGATTAACCGCTTACCATCTTGGCTACGCTTATTAAGGTAATATTGGTCTGGGAACAGTTTATTGCCTAGCTGATCGACATAATTATTTTCTAAAATTAGTAAAACATCTTACCAAGAAGCTTGATGAAGCTTTTGATTATGTTCAGAGTGGCCGGATCATTTGGAAGTACATTATAATAGCACCCCAATCATTTGTTAATTACAGTGCTAACTAAGATAATGAAGCTCTATATTCATAAGCAAAACCGTTTACAGACTAGAATAGTTAAGATAAAATTCATCTTTAAATTTGCTCATATATTCTTTCATCGAGCCTATAAAGTCAATAAATCGAATTCAAGATCTACTTTCTTCTTGGTCTTTAGGATTAAATGCTTTCAGCATCTGGAGGAAATAGAAGTTTTCATCGGTAAGAGTCTCTCCTTTCAGACTAACTTTAAATTATTCAGACTTACCAGTCGTGCCCTTTTTCTCGAAATTTCTCTGTAAAATGTTAGGCCAAACAAAAACTAGTGAAAGATTTACTAAGAACTTCTTCATTGGTCAGTAAGATAGTAGGTGAACATGGCCGGGGAGAAACATCTGTATCAAAGCGTTTGCAAAATTTGGTTCCTGATGGTTTACTTCCCATTTTTAATTACAAATAATTTCTACACAAAAATTTTCACCAGGGGTTTTGGGGTTTTGGGGTTTTGGGG